TCATCAATCGTAAGCCTGTCGTCAACCTGCAAGTAATTTTTAAGTAAGTTTAACTGCGAGCTATTGAGCTATTGTATTAACATTTATAAAAGTAAAGTTATTAAACGATTTTTATATTCAATCATAATATTGTCGAGAGTTGAGTTGATTATTAAAATAAAGTACGAAATTTTAGTAAGATTATAATTCAGCTTATTGAAAAGATTTTTATACTAAACTGATGATTCAGAGTCGAGTACTGAAGCTTTAAGATTTCAAGGTTATTTCAAGTATATGTATGAATAAGAGAGGTTAATGCCACGAAGGGCATAAGTTGATATTACTACAGAGAGATTTAAGCATTACTAATATAGCTTAGGAAAACAGTATCCCATGCGCCCTGTACACCTACACGCCCTGTAAGCCTCGTCCCTCCCCCCCCCCCCCGTGTCAGTGCCGTAAGCCTTTTTGAAAAAGTGAAGGATTAAAAATTAATTACGCGAGTTGAAATAAAGAATTTTGAGTGAATACTTGAGATTGAGGAAGTGCCTGAGAAAGAGAGGGAAGCGAATTGGTGTAGAAACCTCGAAATGCGACTCAGTTCCAGGGGCTAATATTCGCGGACCTCAGGTGGCATTCCTTCAATTTTCGTTTACGGAAAGTCGAGAAATTATAACTATACAGTAGAGTCAGTTTTGTGATTTGACAGATTTGTGATTTGAGTCCGCGAGTGCCGAAGAGAATTGGCGTAAAAGCCTCGAAATGCGACTCAGTTCCAGGGGCTGATATTCGCAGAGGTGCCACGTGATTTATTTGTGCTTTCCCTGATTGCTGAAAAGAGCGACGAAAAGGACGGCTCAGTAACATTCATTTTTATTATTAAAAGAAGCTAAAGTGAACGAAAGTAAGATCCTTTCCCTACTCTTATAGCTACTAAAAATATACAAAAAGAGTGGCTATCCTTGACCTTTCCCCTTGAGTGCATTTATTTTTATTAACATTATTCAATAAGTTTCCGAGAACGAAGGAAAATCCGCCTTCAAGTTTGGCAGCTGTCAGCGAGTAAGCTAGTAAGTGAGGAGCTGACAGAATTTTATTATATGATTTAACGTGACTTTTTATGATTTTATATGTTACTGTGTGACGCTATATAACTTATATGCTTTGATACGATTTTTATTTAACTTGATACGATTTAATACTATTTTATTCTATTTAATATCATTTTATATGCTTCAATACCCTTGTATGTGATCCATACGTCTTTATACTATTTTATACGATTTTATATGATTCTATTTGATTTGATTCAATTTATATGACTTAATACTATATGATTTATTTGACCTTATATGATTTTATACGATTTTATTTGATGATTTAATATGGTTTTTATATATGACTTTATATTCTATATGTTTCTATGTGATGCTATATAACTTTATATGCTTCTATACCATTTTATATGCTCTAATACGATTTTATACGATTTTATTCGATTTAATGCTATTTTATGTGACTTTATTTGATTTGATTTAATTATATACGATTTAATATTATTTTATTCACTTTTCCATAACTTTTGTATGGTTTAATATGAGTTAACGCTATTCTTCATGATTTAATGCTACTATACATGATTTAATGCTATTTTATTTGATTTGATA